AATCAGCGCAGTCACTATTAAAACAAAATACCATAAACTATCTGTGAAATATAAACCTAATATAAATAAATCACAAGCAAATCAACGTGCTCACAAATCTGTGAATTCCTAGTTTCTGCCTAGCACTGTTAGGTGTTTTCACTCCACCCCGCTAAGATATGACACAAATAATGATGCAGTGCAACTAAAGTGTTTCTAAACCCACAACAGTAAAATCAGTCTATATAAGCAGTAAAACATGCTTGTTATATTCCCTCTCTTCTCTGATCCTCCCCTTCTTCTACTGTCCCTAATTCACCTGCTGATAGTACAGAGATCTAGGAGTCACTCTGAACATGCTCAGTATAGTGTGTATTGCTAGAGATGTTTTTTTTTCTTTGGGAGGGTGCATGTGATCAGCATTGTCCAGACAGAGGGTCTCCTCCTACAAGCTTTAACCAGTGCTCAGCTGGACACTGATATAAGTCAGATGACTGCTCTAACTGCTGATGGAAAAAGGTATTTAGCAGTTTATATTTACTAAGATAATTGCATTTCATGTTGTGTGTACTGTGGGAGACCAGATATAGTGAATGCAGGGTCCTGGGTTTAGTAACACTTTAAGAGACACTATTTTAGTTATGCTGCATCCGGGGGTGGACTGACCATTTGGAAACTTAGGCACTGCCCGAGGGCCCGGGGTCAGTAGGGGGCCCCATGAGATGCCCCTGGTACCTTTTTCATGGGCTTTTTTGAGTTTGGGCAAGGACACAGGGGCCCCATGATCCCCTATTGCCCGGGGGCCCCATGAGTTGTCAGTCCGCCCCTGTTTGTGTCATAATCATCCATGTGTCTAGTCCAAGAGATACGCTAAATTGTGTTTAAGTAGTGTTCAATGCTTAAAAATACAAAGACAGAATTGTCATTAGATTATATGCAGAGATCTGAACAGCTTTCCCGTTAGAAATTAAGTTTTCATTGATTCCTCTTTCCTCTGAGGCAGGGCACAGTGCTACAATGATGTGTATAGTGTTTTATATCAGATTTTAGCTAACTGTGGTCAACTTCGTTCAAGGGTAATGTCTGATTGGTTGCTGTTGGTTACGTCACTTTTTTAATAATCTTTATGTTAAATGGGTGTTTCAGAGTCCTGAATCTCAGGAGTAGTTTATCTTCTCTGCGAAAGATGTTGAAAACCTTGCAGCACTGGGATCCTTGGTTTGAATCCTTGCCCATACACTACCTGCATGGACTTTGCATGTACTTGTTCTTATGTGGGTTTCCTTTTAGGTTATTCGCTTCCCTTTTCCTTTATATGTCCTTTTCCCTTTCTCTCTCTCTCCCTTTAGTCTCACTTTCTCTCTCTCTCACTCCCCCTCTCTATAGATTGCACATTCTTCTTTTCCTTTCCATTCCATCACTTTCTATATCTAACCAAACTCATTTCCTACTATCAGAACACTTACATTAACCATTTACTCAGGTCTAATTTTGCTGACAGTTGGATGATCTAGAAATCCAGATTATGGATAATTGTAGAAATTATACAGCATTTTCTTTTTGCAGCTTCCCTCATACTAAAATACCCCCATGTGCCTATTATTCTGCCTGCTCTAATATTATAGTTTTATATAGCAGAATAAAAACTGTTTTCATTTTGCTAATTTGTACAGCCACATAAAATCTACACTAACTGGACGGAATTTGCATGTGCTGTAGAAAACTAGTGAAATATAACAAAAACAAATGCACTATAGATCTAAGAAAGTGTTCATGATGAAATTATATCTTGCTGGGGGAACATATTGGGGTTGATTTACTAAAACTGGAGAGTGCAAAATCTGGTGCAGCTGTGCATAGTAGCCAATCAGCTTCTATCTTCAGCTTGTTCAATTAAATTTGATTTAAAAAAAATAAAAAAAAACTTGAAGAACCTGGAAGCTGATTGGTTTCTATGCAGAGCTGCAGCAGATTTTGCACTCTCCAATTTTAGTAAATCAACCCCATTATGTTTTTCCATTTATATATATAAATATGTATGTCAATCTACTGAACAATTTGTATATAATTTCAGCAGTGTTTTTTTATATATATATATATATATATATATATATATATATACTTTTTTTTTACTTTTGCAATCATTTAGCATTACATCAGCCATTTTATTGAGTGTCCATGCATGCTCAAAGTTTCCATACTGTCATTAAAAGTGTTATGTACTCTTCATAGGGTCTACCCTGCAGTTGTTTTTCTTGTTACAGTCATCCGGTAAGAATGTCAGTTGCCCTGTATTATATGCAATCAGATGGATATTATACTAACAATTTTCAAAATTTTACCTCTAGTTCTTAGAATTGTGTAGGGTGCCTAAATTTGACTGTGCAGTCCAAAAGAAATCCAAGTTAGATTCCATGTTCTCAATAATGAGCTAACAGACCTGGCCTGACATGCTCCGTCCTCCTCTGTACAATACCAATCTGTGTGATGATTTTTGTGATGAAGAGTGTGGCAATTACACAGCTCTGCCAGCATAGAGCTCTGTAGTCAGAAGCAGCACTTTAGAGAAATATAGTAAAAGCTTTTCCACAAAGTAGGTAAAACATTTTAAGTCTTTAATTGAGCTTTAAATTGCTGTAAGGTGGGCCAGAGACAATGTGATTTTCTTTCCTACAACCACAGTAAGTGTTGATGGGGGAATCCCTCCCACGGAGCTATTGTGTTCTCCCAGCAGTGGAGCGCGGGGAGCCGTCCCTGCCGGGGAAACAGTCATTATTATTATTATTGTTATTATAATCGTATGAAAAATCTGACAGGCTGGTTCTACCAAAGTTGTACAACAATCAAATTACCTGCCCATAGATGGATTGAATCTCGGTCAGTCCCTGCTAAACAGACTGAGATTGGAAACATATTAGGCCATCTTCATAATGACATAAATTAGAACTCCAGCTAAAACTTCATTTTTGTATTTCAGTTTTTGATAGATTTTATTTTTCTGTCTGCATGCCTGTTGGAGAGATATTCTCTCACTTTCTGTCCTGGTGACACGAGAAGACAAGAGAGGTGATCATTTTTAGTTGGGGCATTGACAGTAATAAAAGCCTAATAGCAATGTTGACCCTACTTTAAACTCCTAAAACGTACTTTTATTTCTGTCGCTGTTAGAGATTTGGCTGATTTCTTGGCCAGGCGACCAGACAAGAATTTAAAATCAGTACCTACAAAGAATACACAGTCATTTCTTAAAAAAAAAAAAAAAAAAAACATAATAATCACAACAATATCCTAGCAATTGATATTACATTCACAGCTTGTGCACTTACAACTATTAATAAGTTCACAGGGGGCTCAAATCTTGTTATTAGTATTTTTTATTCAAGCTAGTCTACCTTATCAGACTAAATTCCATTTCTGGGAAATACTGTATAATAAGAGATCATTGAAAACTGCAATACTTCACAGTGGGAGTGCCTAGGTGTATACAAATCTCATTTCTCTCATGAATCATCTTTTTACTTTCTTAACAATACTGCCCATGATCTCTTTTAAAGAGGTGAAGGCGGAACCACTAAAGCTTTTCACTGATTACATTGCCAGCATTTCATTTCAGTACTAATGGGGCAAATTTACTAGAATGCTCTACACATTGATGTGAAGGCAGTTCACAGGGCCCGCTTCAAACAACGCAAACATTTAATTTAATATAGACTTTATTAATTACTAAAAACGCTCCCTGATTTTTTACCAGTTTCAGAGTTTAATCCTGCCAATGGTAAGCATTTTTGAAACAATCCCTGCAGTGTAAATTGGAAGCAGGAATTAAAGACAGCTTTGTCCTCTGTGCGGCTGCGATAAGTGTCTGAGTGACAAGGAGGTTTGGAGCAAAGCTTCGACTTTTAATGGCACCCTGGAGAACTGCAATGTGAGAAATACACTAAAGCTTGTGTTTCAATGATTTGGACATATAATGTCATTTATCATGAAGAAACCTGGAGGCAAAGCTCTGATACCAGCAAAGACCTGGGGCTGTGGTATATATAATGAGGGAACACTGTCGGGATGAGCAAGGCATTGTCCAGGAATTTGGCCACCGGAGTATGGAGTATCCATTTTGTAATTAAAAAATGTAATAACAAAACTTGCTGGTATAGATAAACAGGATCATAGGCATGGAAAATGCTGGTGGAGCAGGTTTTCAAAATAAGACTTCCATGGTTACTGGATATTTAGTATAGTTATAAAAAAAAATTAAAATGTTAACATTGTAAAGTTTTAGGATCTATTCACTCTGTTGTGGTGCATTGATGCAGGATATGTCACCCATTTACTTGTGTTGTGTTAAGTTATCCCATTCATTTGAGTGAGCTGCCTAATGCACCAAAAGGTACTATAAAAATTTGTCTGTACCGGCCTACACTGTTCAGTAGAGATGAGCGAATCGAACCAGGAAAAATTCGATTCGCGTCGAATCCGAATATTTGCCTACTTCAGGTGCGCGAATCGGATTTTTCCCGATCAGCCGGCAAAAGTGTCCCTGCAGAGAGCTCCGCTATTTCTGACAGTTCTCTGACAGAAGGAACACATGTACAGCGGTTGAAACATTGTATCTATTAGTTTCATTTAGGATACAGATGTTTCAACCGCTGTACATGTGAAGAAGCTGTCAGAGAACTGTCAGAAATAGAGGAACTCTGCACATACACTTTTTGCCGGTTTGGAATTCTTATTTTCATCCTACTTCTTCTTCTACTTCTTCATCCTCATCCTCAGAAGAAGAAGAAGAGGGATGAGGATGAGGATGAAGAAGAAGAAGAAGAAGAAGAAGAAGAAGTAGGATGAAAATAAGAATAATTCCAAGCCGGCAAAAAGTGTATGTGCAGAGTTCCTCTATTCTGCAGATACACTTAGAGGAGCTCTGCAGATACACTTAGAGGAGCTCTGCACATACACTTTTTGCCGGCTTGGAATTAATCTTATTTTCATCCTACTTCTTCTTCTTCTTCTTCATCCTCATCCTCAGAAGAAGAAGAAGAGGATGAGGATGAGAAGAAGAAGAAGAAGAAGAAGTAGGATGAAAATAAGAATAATTCCAAGCCGGCAAAAAGTGTATGTGCAGAGTTCCTCTATTCTGCAGATACACTTAGAGGAGCTCTGCAGATACACTTAGAGGAGCTCTGCACATACACTTTTTGCCGGCTTGGAATTAATCTTATTTTCATCCTACTTCTTCTTCTTTTCATCCTCATCCTCAGAAGAAGAAGAGGATGAGGATGAGGATGAAGAAGAAGAAGAAGAAGAAGAAGTAGGATGAAAATAAGAATAATTCTAAGCCGGCAAAAAGTGTATGTGCAGAGTTCCTCTATTCTGCAGATTACACTTAGAGGAGCTCTGCAGATACACTTTTTGTCGGCTTGGAATTAATCTTATTTTCATCCTACTTCTTCATCCTCATCCTCATCCTCAGAAGAAGAAGAGGATGAGGATGAGGATGAAGAAGAAGAAAGAAGAAGAAGAAGAAGTAGGATGAAAATATGATTAATTCCAAGCCGGCAAAAAGTGTATCTGCAGAGCTCCTCTAAGTGTATCTGCAGAATAGAGGAACTCTGCACATACACTTTTTGCCGGCTTGGAATTATTCTTATTTTCATCCCTACTTCCTACTTCTTCTGGGACATTCACTCCATACAGCGGTTGAAACATTGTATCTATTTGTTTCCATAAATGGATCCATTTATGGAAAACAAATAGATACAATGTTTCAACCGCTGTATGGAAGAAGAGGGAATGTCCCAGAACTGTCAGAAATAGTCTATTTTTGACAGTTCTGGGACATTCACTCCATACAGCGGTTGAAACATTGTATCTATTTGTTTCCATAAATGGATCAATTTATGGAAACAAATAGATACAATGTTTCAACCGCTGTATGGAGTGAATGTCCCACAACTGTCAGAAATAGACTATTTATGACAATTCTGGGACATTCCCTCCATACAGCGGTTGAAACATTGTATCTATTTGTTTCCATAAATGGATCCATTTATGGAAACAAATAGATACAATGTTTCAACCGCTGTATGGAGTGAATGTCCCACAAACTGTCAGAAATAGACTATTTCTGACAGTTCTGGGACATTCCCTCCATACAGCGGTTGAAAAACCGCTGTATGGAGTGAATGTCCACAACTGTCAGAAATAGACTATTTATGACAGTTCTGGGGACATTCCCTCCATACAGCGGTTGAAACCGCTGTATGAGTGAATGTCCCACAACTGTCAGAAATAGACTATTTATGACAGTTCTGGGACATTCCCTCCATACAGCGGTTGAAACAGACTATTTATGACAGTTCTGGGACATTCACTCCATACATGTCCCAGAACTGTCAGAAATAGACTATTTCTGACAGTTCTGGGACATTCTCTCAATACAGCGGTTGAAACCGCTGTATGGAGTGAATGTCACAGAACTGTCAGAAATAGACAGAAACTGTCACAGAACTGTCCTTCTTCTCATCCTTCTCCTTCTTCTCATCCTTCTCCTTCTTCTCATCCTTCTCCTTCTTCTCATCCTTCTTCTCATCCTTCTCCTTCTCCTCCTTCTCCTTCTTCTCATCCTTCTTCTCATCCTTCTCCTTCTTCTCATCCTTCTCTTCTCCTTCTTCTCATCCTTCTCCTTCTTCTCATCCTTCTCCTTCTCCTTTCTTCTCATCCTTCTCCTTCTCCTCCTTCTCCTTCTTCTCATCCTTCTCCTTCTTCTCATCCTTCTCCTTCTTCTCATCCTTCTCCTTCTCCTTCCTCATCTCCAAGGGCATTTAAATTAAAGGTACAGTGTTCTGCACTAATTTAAAGGCTCTCTGAAGCCTAGAAACCCTTTTTATAAGTTAACTTCGTAGCGAATTAATTCGCATCGAATCGAATTTCTTCCTGGAATTCGCCGAATCAGCTGAATCGAATTTTTGAAAAATTCGCTCATCTCTACTGTTCAGCCATTATGATGTGAGTACACAAACTATGTATTTGCTTTGATATGTGATATTATTAATATGATTTACTATGGCGTAAGTAATGTTTGTCCTATGTTATATAGCGATACCCCACATTGTATGGTCTTGAGGAAGCTACTCTAAATGCGAAACATGTTGACCACTGGATTTGGACCTTTGCACCTTCTGTATATCTGTGTATATTATATGCTAATTGGTCTAAGCATCTGTGTCCTCAATCCTATATGGGGTATTTTGCTGGCCAGGACTTTACAAATAGGATTTTGGCATTAACTAAATACGAACCTAAGAAGATGTAACTATTGCAGCAGCTATTAGTATACAGAGTTAAAAGAGAACTCCACATTTAGCAACAAAAGATGGCAGCACTCACTGATTATGCTGTGATATAAATTATAATGTAACCATTTAAAGTGCAAAACAAACAATAAAAAGTGAATGTGCTTATGCAATGTAACAAAGGTTGCATGTGCTCAAAATAAATAAAGTGACAAGTGCTGTGTATATACCCTGTTCTCTGGTGAGTGTGCTGGTTTTTGAAAGATCTGGAGAGTTATTTTGGTACATATGGTGGTAGTGATTGGCTGTTGTTGGTGGATTGTATCAGGAGTATGGACACATGAATTTGGAATTTTTATACATGCTTTCCTTTGCACAATTATATATTATCATTACAGGTAATTATATAGCGCTTTCAATTTACGCAGCGCTTTACATATATATTGTACATTCACATCAGTCCCTGATCCTCAAGGGGCGTACAATCTAAGGTCCCTAGCTCACATTCATACATACACATACTAGGGCCAATTTAGACAGGATACAATTAATCTACCAGCATGTCTTTGGAGTGTGGCAGGAAACTGGAGTACCTGGAGGAAACCCACACAGGCACAGGGGGAACATGCAAACTCCAGGCAGGCTGTGCCATGGTTGGGATTTCAACCAATGACGCTAGTACTGCCAGGCAGAAGTGCTAACCATTTAGCCACTGTGCTGCCCCAAGACACTTTACTGAAGATTAATTAGCACTTAAGAACTTTGAGTGTTTTTTATTTTGAGCACATGTCACTTTTGTTACATTGTATAAGCACATTAACTTTTTATTGTTTGTTTTGCACTTTAAATGATTACATATTGATTTATATAAAAGCGCAATCAAAGCGAGCGCTGCCATCATTTGAAGGATACTGACATTGTGGATTTTAATGTGGCACACTACTTTTTAACACTTTTGTAATAAAACATTTGATTTTTATTCAGTGTGTTGTGTCTCATGTATGTGTCGTTAAAGGTCAACATTTTTGTACAGATTATTCCTCACACTTTTTTGTTTCTAAATATTTTTGCATGTGGCACAATGGAAGCCCTAGACTGTTTAATACCAATTCAGGTAGTTCACCAAAATGCATGCTGTGCAGCGCGGCACCTCCATTGCCAAGGTACATTGGGGTTCCATTCAGTTGTGGTAACACACAAGTTACTGCAATGCAATAGTTTAAATGTCCCTTAGTGTCTTTGAGCCCATTTGGAAGATTTCGTTGAATGGAAATGTTATCTTTTATAGTTTGTTTTATTGCAGTTTTTTGGTATATAAATATGTGTTTAAACCATTGTTATATCTTTGTTTCTCACTATATATAACCATTGTGATGCAAATTAACGTATATCTAAAGCCAAATCTTTTCTTTCGTTTTGGATAGAGAAGGGAATGGCTAAAACACCTAACATTTTTATTTCTCTGTGTCCTGTTAGAGACATTTTCCATCACTTTTTTTCCTCAAGTCACAACAAGAAATGAGAAGAGATCTCTCCAAAGTAAGGGCAATCTTCTCGGTTGTCATGAGAACAAATGTTCCTATTGGAATGTTTCCCCCTTCATTTCAGACTGTAATAATGGAAGAAAATATAAGTACAAACACTATACATCACGTGAAAGGGCCTGTCCATTCAAAAATGATTAGCTATAAGTGGACTCTGATTTACTATCATACCATATATATGCAGGTATATACAGTACCCTGGGTACTCCATCAATGAGATTTCACAGTAACAACTTCAACCTCTGCTTCTGTCCACTTTGAAGTTTGGGGTTGTTTCTGTCTACCTAAGGCACTCCCATCTCTCCTGTTGACTATTTCATAATGTCAAATAAGTTAAAATCCAGAAGCAGATATTTCACAGATCAGAATACCCACTAGATATACTGGTATACAACTGCCCAGTATTTACCAAAAACTGAAATGTCAGTCTTGGTTGGACTCCTACTTTTGAGAATATATAGTGTGATGGAGAGCAGTGCCACTGAGGTCAATCTTCATGTTGACATGGTTGGTTACTTTCTCCAGGTGTTGCTATCTGTTGTTTATACTGGATGTACTCAGGACACCAATAAGCCTGATTTTTAGCAGTTGTTTCTTTCAGTTTTTCTTGCAAATGCTTTCCCAGGTAAATTATTACCAGTAAAAACAATGAAATAACTAGCCGACATGAGTGTTTCTGCTCTAGGCTCAGTTTACTTTCAGGCATTTTTCCTATAGCTTATACACACAGAAATAACTTTCTCATTTCTTGTATTTGTTGTTGAGTCAACATTTGTGACTTAAAGTCTGAAAAATCAAAAAAGAAGCAGGGGAAATTGTTAGCTGAAATGGGCTAAGCGACCACCTAGGCAAAGCAAGTAGTGTTGCGGAAAATTATGGCTAGGTTACCAAGAAAGGTCAAGACTGTATACATAGATGGACACTGTTTGTTTGTTATTCAGGACAAGCTAATAAAGATTAAAACAATAAATCAGAAATAAGGAAAAAATATATATATATACAGTATATTGTAGTGGACCAATCATTACTTTCACCCCATGTGCTGTGCTTGCCAGGATGGCCCCATTGTCAGGAACATACTGCCATGGCTGCATTCTCTTGCTGCCATGAGCCACCACAGTTCATTCCAATATGAAGTTCTGTCAATGACTTCACTAGATCCATATACCTTCAGTCTAGTTAATGATGGACAGGGTGCATAATCATTACATGTCCTTCCAGTTTAATGAATGACCTGCTGCTTTGTCGTACTCTACACTCACCACCTACTTTATTAGGCACACCTTGCAAGTACCGGGTTGGACCACCTTTTGCCTTCATAGATTCAACAAGGTGTTGGAAACATTCCTCAGAGATTTTGGTCCATATTGACATGAGTTACTGTTGTCTATCTATCATCTCGAATGAGTTTGCCTATTCTCCTCTGACCTCTGACATCAACAAGGCATTTTTGTCCACACAACTGCCCCTCACTAGATATTTTCCCTTTTTCGGACCATTCTCTGTAAACTCTAGAAATGGTTGTGTGTGAAAATCCCAGTAGATCAGCAGTTTTTTAAATACTCAGACCAGCCCACCTGGCAGCAACAACCATGCCATGTTCAAAGTCACCTAAATCCCATTTCTTCCCCATTCTGATGCTCGGTTTAAACTTCAGCAAGTCATCTTCGCCACGTATAGATGCCTAAATGTATTGAGTTCCTGCCATGTGATTGGCTGATTAGCAATTTGTGTTCCCAAGCAATTGCACAGGTGTATCGAACAGAGGGGATGGTGAGCGTATATAATCGACTAAAGTTGTCTACTGAAAATATTGTGTAAAGCCTTTGGTGGCTGTTGGAATATCTGTCCAATGCATTAATGTATATTAACAGTAATGTAGAACAACCTAAAGACTAGGTTAGGCTTTGTTAAAGGATGAGTTCACCTTTGGGAACACATTACATGTTTAACCCATTTTTAGGGTGGAACATGTAACATGTTCCCATAGCCGTAGCCTGCCAGCCCCCCTCCCTCTGGGAAGTCTCCCCGTACTATCTCTGTCAAATGTGGAAACGGCACTGCCGTGCAGGGCTCCACCCACACGGCTGCATCATTCATTCACGCACTTCCGTGAATGAGTGAACTGCAAGTCCCGACAGCCTTAATGGCTGTAGGCTTTTAATTTTCAATTGCAGCTTCCTGTCAGAATATCTGCTTGCTTGTACATCCTGTACGGCAAGCAAATATTCTGACAGGTCTGCAGGTCTGCATGGCATCAGCGGTC